GACTTCGGCCCCGCTGTCGCGAGCCGGCAGCGCCCTTAAAGAACCCGAGCCGAGCAGGGGGCCGGGGAGCGGAGGGCTGGGGAGCGGGCAGCCGACACGCCTGTCTCCCTGCAAGGGTCTGTGCTGGCCTCTGCCTTGAGAAACGGCTCTGGGGAACTGGGGACCGATAAAACCACTCCAGAAGAGGCTTGGAAAGCTCAGGAACGTGATTTTGGTGGTTTTTTTCCAATTCATTCTGGAAGCCTTAAGTACTGAAAAGCGCCAAGAGGACGCACGGCGAGAGGGCGAGAGACTGAGCGGGGCAGATGAAAGCCGACGCTTCATCCCTGCCTTTAACAATGCGTTGAACCGAGCAGGGAGCAGAGTTTTGGGGTCTCTGCACCCGGCTGGGAGCCCAGTGCTCCCCTGACCTCCTCCTCTCTGCCCAAAACACGGGTGTCTACCTCCCCGCCAGCCCGGGAGAGACCTGGCTCTGCGGTCCAGAACCGGGCACTCACTTCGAAACTCCCACGGTACCGAGCAGAGCCCCAGTGCGGCCCACCTTCCTCCTCCTTCCCAGAGCCCTCGCCAGCGTGCTGCCACGTCACTCTTTTGCCCTCTTGCTTCAGAGTCCGGGGGCTGAATCAGCTGCCCCGCACTTTGCCCTGGGCTCGTTCGTTCCTCCGCGCTGGAGGAACTCAAACACACCTCGTGTGCCTCGTCAGCACGGAGCTTGCGAGCAGGCTCGTCGCTGATGAGGAAAGGCTCGTTAGGCAGCGCTCGATCAGCCTGCGGCGAAGGGAGTAAGGGGGGTTCAGGGTGCAGGGCTCAGTAATGAGACGGGGCTTTGCGGCTGAGAAACCTTCTCGTACCGGGAGATGTACAAACAGCAGCACGACACCCCGCAAAAAAAGAAAGGAGCTGAAACCAGGCAACGTGGGGTGACTCGAAGCGACAGCCTTCAGATCCTCCAAACCCTGAACCCGCAGTGAGCATCGCTTCAGCCTTCAGCTCTCGCCTCTCCCCAGGCGGGCGATCCCACGGCGCGGCCACTCGCGCTCAGCCACCTGCGCACCCGTGCTGCTGGCCGGGCATTCGCACGGCCTCCGCATGGCACTCAAGCGG